AGCTAGAGACTTCTGCTCTTTAGAACAGGCTTCTGGCCCCACTGGGTAAGAGAACTTCAGCTCTACCAGTCCTGCTTCCTCTGGGATCTTCCAGGCTGGAGCTGTCTGCCTCGACTCAGGGGTAGGGGATCAGAAATGTCCTAGCCCCCTGGAGGACCTAGGAGGGGTGTAGGGTGACATGCTATCCCAGTTTGCCTGGTGCTGAGGTTGGGGATACATGTTTCAGGGTGGGACTTTCAGTGCAAAAACTGGCAAAATCCTGAATAAACCAGGACAAGTTGGCCACTCTAGAGAACTGCCTTGTCCCATCCATCGGGGGCCACAAACTCCACCTGATTGTATAACCCAAACTGCTGCTGATTCCTTTCTCCCTTCCTACTCTTTAAAATAATCCCTGTAGATTAAACGTATCCTGTTTAGCACTCAACCCAGCGTAAAGGACAGAAGGAACATAGAGGACTAGGTGAATAGATAACCTCTCCATGGCCACAGGCTGCAAATGCTAAAACCAAGAAATGCTGGGTTGAGAAGCACCTATGAGAGAATCTTGTTTGGAAGGTGAAGGAGTTGGCCATCTTCTAAGGAAGATCCCAAGGGAGGCAGGTGCTCTGACCAAGAGGTTGGGACCTGTAGCTTTGACCTTACAGCTTTATCAAGGTTACCCACTGCTTATCTCAGAGGATCTCAAATTGAGGACCTGACTGATGTCATGGGATTGGGAGCTTCCAATGAGGTGGTGTGCTAGAAGGTGAGCATCTCATTCCTGTCATGGTAGTTAGTATATGTGCGTCCTTTCCTCCACTCTTTCACCCACAGCCTTCTGGAACAATCTCTTCCTCTCTGTCGGTTCTCATGTTTTCTTGTCATTCTCAGCTAATCTTGAAGCTCCTCTCTTTCAGGAAGCCTACGCAGAGGAGGAATGTCAATGAATTTCTGTTACTCTTTATTCCATGTTCAGGTGATATACACAGATGTCTTTGATTAGGGAATCTCATTCTAGAAGCACTCCAAAGGAAGTGACAGATGTGTGTCTTTGCACTTTGCAATTTAATTTAAACTATAATATTTGCACCAAAATAAAATGCTTCTCTCCTTTCCATTATCAGGTATGTGTACGTGTGTGCGTAAAATACCTACTTCATATTTTTTTAATTCAGCATTTACAAAACAGGTGGGGAGTAGAAGAACGTTCCTGCACCAATCTTCCAGGAGAGAAAAAAGGTAGCTCAGTAGTTCTATATATTTGGGGAGAAAAAGAGAATAATTGGCTAATGTTCATAAGAACTAATTATGAAGAAATTAAGACTCAAGGTATTTCTTCCCCAAAGTAAGTATTTGTTTGTTTTAAATGAACAAATCGGTGGATTACAATTATTAACACGAGAAAGTGTTGACTGAGCCCAACTAGCAGCTGTGAAATGCAAACAGACGTGTAGAGACATAATCACATTCTCATTCCCACTAATGGCTGTGATGAAGCTAGATCATCATACTACAAACTGAAAAGATTAGCCTTGAGGTTATAAGTTGATGCAGAAGTTCTTTAATTAATGCGTGTCATTTCTGTTCTCTGGGGCAGCCTTTCGCAGCAAATCCCTGCTGAAAAGCTAAGCATGCTGGTATATGACATAAGGCAAAATTTTATTTCCCACAAATTGTATTGTGTATACAAGCACTTTTCAACAATATTTCACTTATGTTTTCCCTACATGTTATGAAAAATTGCAAGCATGTTGAAGAGACAAAAGAATTTTTCAGTGACACCCATAAACATATCGCCCATATTCTACAATCAACATTTTAGAATGTCTGCTTTATCATACATCTATTATCTGGCATATATATCCACCTACTAATCTCATTTTTATGCATTTTTAATCATATGACAGATATTAGTGCAATTCACTTTTAAATACTTCAGTATACATATGATTAACGAGGGTTAAATATTTGCTTATGGTTCTTTTTTAGGTCATATTTACATACACAGTACACATGGTGAATATACCAATCCTAAATTTATAATTTACCATTGGTGCATTCTGATAACCCAAACTCCTAGAACATAACCATAACTTCAGAAAATTTCCTCACGTGTCTTCCAGTCCATCCCTTCACCACTACCCCCAAGGTAATCACTGTTCTGATTCTTTTTACTGTATAGTAGTTAACCAGTTCTAGAATATTATATTAACAGAAACATCTAACACACACTCGTTTGCATAAGGCTTCCTTCACCGAGCACCATGCTTCTGAGTTTCATTCATGTTGTCTGAAATCAGTGATTTGTTCCTTTTGATGGCTGGGTAGTGTGGTTCCTTGGGTGAATGTATCACAGCTTGATTGCTCATTCTCCTTCTTATGGACATCTAGGTTGTCAGTTTTTGGCAATTAAAAATAAAGCTGACATGAACTTTCTCTGCAACATTTCTTGTGGGCATATGTTTTCATTTCATTTGGGTAAAATCCAGGAATAAAATCATTGGGTCATAGGTTAGATATATGTATAGTTTTGAAACTGCCAGAAACTTCCAAAGTGCTGGTGACATTTTACACTCTCATCAGCAATATATGAGAGCTCCAGTTCAAGTTCTACATCCTCGCCAGCACTGGTGCTATCAGGCTGTTTAATTTTAGTCCTCTGAATGGGTGTGTAGAAGTCATTGTAGTTTTAATTTAGGTTTTCCTGATGGCTAGTGATGTTGAGCCTCTTTTCTTCATATGATTATTGGCTATTCATTTTCCCTTCTTTGTGCAGTGTTTCCTCAAATCTTGTGTCTATTTTTATTGGATTGTCTTTTTATTATTGAGTTGCAGAAGTGATGCATGTATTCTGGATTCTTGTCCTTTTCAGATATGTTTTGCAAATATCTCACCTAGTCCGTGAGTCGCCTATTCATTTTCTCAATAATTCCATTTGATGAGTAGAATTTTTAAAAATTTTATGAGGTCTGATACAATCATGGTTTCTTTTATGGTTATTGGCTTCCTTAATCTTGTCTAATAAACACCTTCTTACCCCCAAGTCGCATAGATATTCTTCTATATTATCTTCTTGAAGTCTTATAGTTTATGATCCACATTGAATTAGTTTTCGTATATGAGAAAGGCAAGACCAAAATTCAGTTTTCCATGTTAATAGTTCTTCCAGCACCATTTGCTGACTTTCCCTTCTTCCATTACATTGATTTGGTGTCTTTGGTGAAAATCAAATGCTTATGTGTCTATTTCTGAACCCTCAATTCTGTTCACTGATTTATTGATTCATACTATTTGGATTAATGTAGATTTCATAATATGTCTTGGAGACAAGTAGCATAAGCCCTCTTTGTTATTTTTTAGAGGATTATTTTGGATATTTAAAATCCTTGACATGTCTATATAAAATTTAAACTTAACAGGTCAATTTCTTTAAAATGGCTATGGAATTATCAGTGGGGTTGTAATCCATCTATGGGGACAGGCTAATTTGGGGAGATTTGGCATCACAATGATTTTGAGTCTTCCAATTAATGAACATGAAATATCTCTCCAGTTATTTATTTTCTCTCAACATATTTTATACTTTTTAGTCTTGCATTTATATTTTTAAATCTATTCCTATTTTATGATTTGTTGTTTTCATAAGTGGAATTTTACAAATTGTTACTGGTATACAGAAACCCAATTGATTTTAGTATTTGACCTTACACACTGGCGTCTTTCTAAGTTTACTTATTAGTTCTATTAGTTGTTTTACAGTACAACTTCTAATTCCTTGGCATTGTATATGTAAACAACCATGGTCATCTACAATACAGTTTTATGTTTTCCTTTCCCATCTCTATGCCCTTCTTGTGTTACTGTACTAGCCATCATGTCCAATATATTATTGAATTATAGTGGTGAGAGTGGACATCCTTGACTTATTCTCCATCTTAGGAGTACGAGGACATAATTCTCCATGAATCTCTCATATTTCTGCAAGAAATTTCCCTTCTGTAAGAGAGATGCTAACAGGAAGAAGCACAACCCCCTTTTCTTCTGGATTATCTTTTTAAGAGTGTTTATACAATAAACAGCCTAGGAAGACAGATAATTCTGCAAATACCTCTGAGTAAGAAGGCCGATTTGCTACACAGGATAGGACCTCCAGGGTAAAAGGTTGGGCAAGTTTGTTTAAGCCCCTTAGAAAAAACTGGGATTCTGGTGAGGGTGCAATGACTGGCTTGCTGATGACCACCTTCCCCCTGTGTCCTCACATGGAAAAAAAGGAGGGCAAGCTCTCTGGTGTCCCCTCCTATAAGAGCACAAATCCCATCATAAGAATCCCACCCTTATAACCTCATCTAAACCTAATTGCCTTCTAAAGGCTCCATCTCCAAAAACCATCACATTATGGGTGTGTTAGTCCCTCTGCACTGCTGATAAAGAGATGCCCGAGACTGGGTAATTTATAAATAAAAAAGTTCAATGAACTCACAATTCCACATGTTGGGAGGACTCCCAAACATGGAAGAAGGTGAAAAACATGTCTTACATGGTGGCAGGCAAGAGACAATGAGAACCAAGCAAAAAGGGAGATCCCTTATAAAATCGTCAGATCTCATAAGACTTATTCACTACCACAAGAACAGCATGGGGGAACCTCCTCATGATACAATTATCTCCCACTGGGTTCCTCCCCCATGTGGAAATTATGGGAGCTGCAATTCAGGATGAAATTTGCATGGGGACACAGTCAAACCATATTAGGGGATTAGGGACTTAATACATAGGATTTTCGGGGAGCACAATTCAGTCCGTAGCAGAGTTTTAGTAGAGCTGGTGTTATTTCATCCTTAAATGTTTGATATAATTAACCAGTGAAACCGCCTGGGCCTAGGGTTTTCTTTGCAGAAAAATTTTAATTATGAATTCAATTTTCTTAATAAATATGGAACTATCAATATTTTTCTACTTCTTATTGAAACCATTTTGATAATTTGATTCTTTCAATGAATTTTTCCATTTACCCTAAGTTGGCAAGTTTATTGAAATAAATGATCTTATTAACTTTTTAATGTCTTTAAGGTCTGTAGTGATGGTAATTTGTGTCTTTTTTATTCTTGATGAGTCTAGCTACAGGTGTATCTGATAACTAATATTCTCTGTTGTTTGTCTTTTTTCAACTTTACTGATTCCTGCACTCACCTTTATTCTTTCCTTCCACCTACTTTCTTCGAGTTTGCTTTTCTCTTTGTTTCCCAGTTTTATAAGGTGGAACCTTAAATAATTAATTTTAAATATTTATTATTTTCTAACTTAAATATTTAAAGCTATAAATTTCCCTCTAAGCACTGCTTTAGCTGTCTCCCACAGATTTTGATATAGTGCATGTAGAAGTAATCATCATGAAAATGGGAACTGAATTTATCCTTGATTTAGACATATTTTCACTTTTCTCTGGTGAGTTCTTTAATTTATGGTTCTTTAGAAAAATGTTTAATTTCCAAATATTTATGGTTTTGTGTATATTTTGTTATTTCTCATTTGATTTCATAGCGATCAGAGAGCATACTCTACACAATGCTTATCCTTTTAAATTTATTGAGCCTTGTTTTACAAGTCAGAGTCTGGTTGATCTTGAGGAACATACCAGTTCATTTGAAAACACAGTGTTTTCTACAGTTTTTGAATGTCCTATTCCATAAATATCAATTAGGTCAAGGTGGCTGGCATTATTCAGATCTTGAGTCAGATTTTTACTTCTGCTTTCCTTATCTAAATTAGGTAATAAAATAAGAGTTTCTGTGCACATTAAATAAGAATGTAAATGTATATAAAGCATTTGGGAGATGTAATTCTTAAAAATTCCAGTTGCCTTTCTCTTGTGTGCCCCCATCCCTACTCCAGCCCCTCCCTGAGGTCTGATGTCAGTCAGAGGAGCTGAATGAATGAACAGACAGACCCAAGAGAGGAGGGTGTGCCTGCTCTGATACATTCTCTTCCTGGTCCCTTCTCCCTTACTCTGGTTGGCTGTTCCTGTTTTTTTCACTTATCAGAATTTGACCTTATGAGGCTTTGATAAGTGGTCCTACCTTATCTTTCGTATGTCTTGGAAAATACTTCGGTAAAGTACCAGAGGAGTCATTAGAAGCCTGGGGTCAGACAGCCTCAGCACCATGGGCTACATGGTGGAGAGAGAAAACAGACGGCCTGAGTGCCTTTTGTTCCAGACCTTGTTTTTATGACGGGCTTCATAATGTCTCACAGCACTTCATTCCTCTCAGAATCTGTGGGTGAGACTAATGTGGTCCTTTAATAACTGTTCTCTCCCCCTTCCTTTAATAAAGAACCCCCCACACTTCAGCTGGATACATGGCAAACCCAGGCAGTGACTACCCTTCCCAACCTCTTTTACAAGAATATGTGACCATGGCACTGAGGTTTTACAAAAGGATGTGAAGAGAAAAGACATCTACAGCTTTCTTGCTATGCTCTTGAAACAAATGGGCCACGTTTATTCCCTTCCCCTTTCCACTGGCTTGAGGACACATAGGGTAATAGTGCTTCATTTTCTTGGAGCATCAAGATAGAAGTTTGAATCCTCTGAAACCTCCAGGGGCAGTGGACACAAGGGCAGTCCTAGCTGCCCTGGTGATCTACTTCAAGATTTTAAAGTGGCAATAAAATAAATTTCAGTCTCATTTAAACCACTATATTTTGGGGTCTCTTTGTTACCATAGTCTAACCTGAATTCTGACCGATACTAAATCCTTCCCAACACAGAGGTGCAGGCATCCTCTGCCGATGGACTGGTATTTGAGTTGAAACCTATTTGCCATCCTGACTCAGGTGTCCAGTTCTAGGTGGGGAGACTGTCATCTCTGTGAGTCCAGGATCCGTATCTGCTTCTTCACCTCCAAAGGTCCGGCATCTATCTCAGAGCTTGGCTCTCAGGAGCTGCTTAATAAATATGTGCTGAGCAAATGCATGAATGAATAAACTTGGCTCATAGTTTATTCACATAGTAGGTTCTCAATAAATACAATGATGATGATGATGATGACATAAAATTAGAGCGAAGAACTAAATGATTCTTAAACATTTCCAACTAGGAAAACATATAACTACTTTTAAAATGGTCAAATAAAGAGATCCTCTGATTTTTTCCACAGGTTTGATATAGAGTACAATGAACAGGGACATGCAGATGGCTCAGGAAGTCCAAGGCAGAGCAGACTGTGTCTGGAGAGCATGCTGGACCCTGGGGTCCTCCTTAAATTGCAGCCATGCTCCCTTTGTATTAAGAATAACTGTCTACTACCTCAGTACCTTACATCCACTATGAGAAAACACAAGGAGAAATTTCATGACAAAATGACCTGCATTTCTCCTAAGCAAAATTGCCTGATAATTTGAAAATCTTAGGCTATTGTTAAGGTTTAAACACTATCCCTCTTTGACTGTCAAGAAACTGAGAATTGACCTTGTACACTATGACTGCAAATGCAAAGCATGTGTGGTAGGTCCCTACTGTGCTAAGTAGAACCCTCCTTCAGGACGCAGGTGCCCATTCCTCCAGCTGCATGCAGGGTTACCTGCTGGCACCTCACAAATCAGTTCTCCCCTGGACTTGCTCTGGGCTAGGGTTGCCAGATAAAACACAGGACACCAGATTAAATTTAAATATCAGTTAAATGACAAATACTTATTTTAGTCTAAGTATGTCCCAATGTTCCAAACAATATTTGGGGCACACTTACACCAAATATACTAAAAATATTCATTGTCAGTTAATTTGAAATTGGAACTTAATCGGTTATCTTGTATATTTATTTGCTTTCCCCAGCAACCCTATCCTTGGCTAAAGAAATGCACCCCTGGCCCCAGGTCACACCTCTTTCCCCAACAATGCTCAAAGACAGATCCATGCAGCAGTGGAATGGTCTGAGCTGCTCGCCACAAATCCACTTCCGGAGCTTGTTACAACAACTGAATTGTGGCCCAGCTTCTCCTCTGCCCAGTCCTGCAGGTAGGTACTCCTTCACTTTCACAGACAGATCCCAAGAACATCTCCTAATAAGCTGCTTCATGCTGATGTCCTTCTCCAACTCTGCTTCCTGGGGAGCCAGGCCTTAGAAAGCACCTTTCAGCCACACCCTTCCCACCTGTCTTTTGCCCTCTTAACCATTTTTCCATTGTCTGTGCCTCCTAATCTGTTTATCCTCTTGTACTATATGTATTTTTGTAAGGCTTCTCAGATTCTCTTATGGAAAAAAGTGTGTGTGTTTTTGTGTGTATACACATTTTTGTTTTTTAAAAAAATGTTTTGAGTGAAAGGTGACTAGAAAGAACGCTGGAGAAGGAATCACAAGTCTCGACCCGGCTCCGCAAGTACAACCTGTGACCAGACAAAGGCACATGACATTTCTAAGGTGCAATGTTTAGAGTGAGGATGATATAATTTACCCTTACAGGTGTCCCACACAAGGGGTGGATGTTAGAGGGCTCCGCAAAGGCAAATCTTCACATCTAAGTTGTGCTGTGGTGTGAGCTGGGCCTGAACGACAAACTACCTAATTCCCTCCTGCAGGTCCTCAGGAGTGGAAACAAGCCTCTGCCTTCCTGTGTGACAGAGGTCTCCCCTCTGCCCATTGACGGGCATTTGCTGCATGGTGTGACACTGCCTTCTGCCCCTCTTTGCTAAAAGACAGTCTTTCCACCCTGTCCACTGCGTTTCCATGCTGCCATTGGATAACCCCTATGGGTAAGGCAGGAGTTGGGAAGTGATGCCTCAGCACCCTCAGTGGAGCATAAAAGGTATTTCTGCTTAAACCACAGAGCCAAGCATCCACCTGGGAAGCAGTGGGGCTTCAGGATGGTAGGAGTGAGCTAGAGCTATTCCAAAGTGGCTGGCTCATGGACGAATTGTGTAGATTGGAGGATCTGGGAGGGGACTTCGGTGGCAGAGCCAGCAGGCTGTGGTCAGCCCTGGCACTCTCTAATGCAAAACACAAGCAAAACTGGTGTGGTGGAACTGCTCAGGCTCTGACTCTGAGGTCTTCAACTTTGGCCACAGGTAGGATCACCTGGAGAGCAATGATATCTCTTCAGGTGAATCCAGGCAGCAACCGAGTGCAAACTCCTCAGGAGATTCCAGTGTGCACCCTTGGGTGTGAGTCCACACATCTCCACCACTAGCTCTACTGCCTGGACCAGGCTGCTCAACTTCTCTGAGTCATTTTTTCTTCACTGGTTAAAAAAAGGACAATCCCTATTTGCTGTGGGTTGAATTGAGTGCCCCCAAAAGATGTTTGAAGTTCTAACCCCAGTAACTGTGAATGTGACCTAATTTACAAATAGGGTCTTTCCAGATATAATCAAGTTAAACTGAGGTCATTAGAGTGTGCCCTAATCCAATATGACTCTGGTGTCCTAAAAAAACGGGGGCATTTGAGCACAGAGAGGCATACCAAGAGAGAACACCATGCGAAGATTGAAGGTGTTCAAGGGAAGGAACTACCCAAAGTTAGGGGAGAGGCCTGGAATGGATCCTTCCCTGCCAATGCCTTGATTTCGGACTTCTGAACTCCAGAGCTGTGAGGTAATAAATTTCTGTGGTTCAAGCTGCCCAGTCTGTGGCACCTTGTTATGACTCCTCAAGCAAATAAAAACATCATCCTAAAGGGATTTTATAAAACTTAGGAAATAAAATATGTAAAGCCTCGGACACATCTACACTCAATAAATCATGATGATAATATAATTTTACCTTTGGGAATCCTTATTTCTTTATGGAAGGTTGCTGTGTGACTGTGGACAAATATTGAGCCTATGTACGCCTCGGTTTTCTCATCTATAAAAGGGTAGTAAAAAATATATAAAAGACATACCTATGTTGCAGGAATGTTGCAAGAAGAACAGAAGAGCACAGAGCACAGTTAGAACAGTGCCGGGCACATAGTAAGTTCTCAATAAATACGACGATGACGATGATGATGATGACGACATCCTATGAGAGTGAAGAACAAAATGATTTTTAAACATTTCCAACTAGAAAAGCATGTAATTGCTTTAAAAATGGTCAAATAAAGAAATCCTGATTTTTCCACAGGTTCTATATGGAGTGCAATGAGTGAGGACATGCAAATGGCTCAGGAAGTCCAAGGCAGAGCAGTCTGTGTCTGGAGAGCATGCTGGACCCTGGGGTCCTCCTTCAATTACAGCTAGCCCAGGTGCAGTGAGGAAGCCCTCAGGGGCCTTCGGTGCCAGATGTCATAATTCATCTCTGAACCTGTAACTGTTGCCCGGCCTGGAGTTTGTCCTCGGATCAGTCCTCGCACTGTGTGGAGCGTGGTTGTTATGGAACACAGGATAATTGTCCCCAAGTGACTTAGCATAAGAGGACCACTGGACGCCAGATTGCCTTGAGAGGTTGTTGCCTCAAGTGGGACCTTTGATCTCCCCAGTAAGCCAAGGAGGGCAGGGTTCCAGTGAGGCACCACCCCTACCCACTATGCTTCACAGCCCAAGGGATGCATGTGACAGAGCTGGTGAAGGTGATGGTGACCATGTCTGGCCCCTGCTGTGGTTTGAGGATGCATGCTAAGCTCAGGGGGCTGGGAGGATAAATCTGCCCTTTCTATTGATGCCTCTGCCTCATCCTCCCTGAGAAATCTGATTATCTGGGCTATGCCGGCAGATGTCAACATGAAATGTTTGCTTCCAGGTCCCTACTTAGGGGGGCGGATGGGGCTGACTCCTGCCTTCCTGTCAACAAACAATCATTAATCCCCCTGTCTTACAGTCGATATCTGATGCCACTTTTCCTGGTTTATGTGGCTCAGTGACCTTTCTTTGTTTTGTTCCCATAAAGATAGCCCCACTGGGGCTGGGCCTGATGAGAGCTCTTTAATTCAGGGAGCGCTAAATCAGAGAGCTTTCCGAGGCAGCAGGCAGCTCCTGCAGCCAGCTCTTTGGGGTTCTGTTCACTGGTTGCTCTGGTCACTGTGGCAGCGTCTTTGTGTGACATCCCCTACAGAATCCACTATTCCAGAGCTTTCTATTTCTCTTCCTTCCCGCTCCAGACCATTGACCTGGAAGGTACACTGCAATGAGTAATTCTCCCAGTCCCCGTGTGTTTTGGTATAAACCTGTTTGGCTGAGATGGAGAAGTCTTTCTGTAAGAGTTGAGGTGTATGGCTAGGCCCACCTGTGGATGAGGATCAGACCAGCAGGGCCAGCTAGTTGGCTGGTTCCCTGAGGGCTGAAGGGCAGAAGCACGATCCTCTCTCAATCAGACATTCCTGCTGGATTTGGGAGTGGGGACAGGAACTACCAAAGGTGGAGATGGACAGTGGCACTTGCTTTTCTGTTGGGCAGGAGTTTCTTACCTTCTCTTGGCAAGTGTGCCTACTAGAAGATTCCAGCTCAGCTGCTCCCAAGACTCTAGGGTTATAGCCCCTGTGGGTACCATACTACACACACACACACACACACACACACACACACACAGAGTCCACCCTGGCTTCACCAACTCTGTCTCTCTAAGCCAAAAGCTTTCTACCATAATAGTTAAGCTACTAAAGTTCTCAATCACCTAGGAAGCTTTAAAAAAATACAGATGCCTGAGAAAAAAGTAGCAAGCACTTTACAAAAGAGGCTACCTAAGTGACCAATGAACACATGTAGGTGCTCAGGTTCACTAGTCATCGGGGAAACAGAATAAACCACAGTGTGATCCCACTACACACTCCACAGGCTGGTGAAGATGATAAGTACAGACAATTCCAAATTCTGGCTGGCATGTGGCATAACCAGAACTTCTTATTCACTGCTGGTGATAGTGTAAATTGAACAATCACATCATGAAGTCACTTGGTGGGATCTCAATTGAACATACACATATGCCCTGACCCAGCACTTTCATCAGAGCGCGCGCACAGAAATGCATTATATATCCACCAAAGACACATACAGGAACTTTCATAGCAGAACTCCTCATAGGAACCCAAACCAGAAATGATCCATATGCTCATCAATCAAAGAACTGATCCATAAACAAGGGCATATTCATACAGTGATATTCTAGAGAGCAGTGAGAATGAGAAACATTGCTGCAAGCAACAACAGGGATGCTTCTCACGTAATGTTACGTAAATGAAGCCATGCACACAAGGAAGGGCTCGCTTTTTGAATCCATTTGTAAGAAGCTCGGAAACAGGCAAAACTAATCTAAGATGTCAGAAAGAAAATGGGTGAACTTCAGGGGGTGACTGGGAGGAAGCCTGGGGGATTCTGGGTGGCTGGCAACACAATGCTCTCTTTCTTGATGTGGGAGATAGTTACATAGGCGTGCTCAGTTTGTGAACATGCATCAACTGGTGCACACTTAGGAATTGTACACTTTTCTAAAGAATGTTATGTTTCAATATTTTTTGACATATCTTAATACCTAGACTCTACCTTCAGAGAGTCTGATTCTGTTAGTCTGGGCTTCAGGCCTGGCATGAGTATGTCAGGTCTTCCCAGGAGGTTCTAATGGGCAGGCAGGACTGAGAATCCTGGGCTTAGAGAATGGGGGTTGAAGTCAGAAGCAGCAAGCTTAGAAGACAGATCCTCCCACAGACCTGCTGGCATAAGCTACTGAGTCTCTCTGGATCTGTTTTTCCCCCGAGTCAGGAAAAGGGGACAATAATTCTGTACGCACTGCACAGGGTTGTTGCAAGGAACAGCTGGGATTGCGTGTGTACCATACTGTCCACTGTGCCTGCCTGTAGAGTGAGCGCTCCATGATGACAGCAAACCACAGTGAGTGCTCCACAATGGCAGCAAACCACAGTGAGTGCTCCACAATGGCAGCAAACCAGAGTGAGTGCTCCATGATAACAAACCAGAGTGAGTGCTTCACGATGACAACAAACCAGAGTGAGTGCTCCACGATGGCAGCAAACCACAGTGAGTGCTCCATGATGGCAGCAAAGCACAGCAAGTGCTCCACAGTGACAGCAAAGCACAGCGAGTGCTCCACGGTGGCAGCAAAGCATAGTGAGTGCTCCACAGTTACAGCAAAGCATAGTGAGTGCTCCAGAGTTACAGCAAAGCACAGTGTGTGCCCACAGTGGTGGCAAACCACAGTGAGTTCTCCACGGTGGCAGCAAAGCATAGTGAGTGCTCCACAGCGGCAGCAAAGCACAGTGAGTGCTCCACAGTGACAGCAAACTACAGTGAGTGCTCCACAGTGGCAACAAAACACAGTAAGTCCTTCATGATGGCAACAAACCACCATGAGTGCTCCATGATGACAACAAAACACTGTTAGTGCTCCACAATGACAAGCAACCACAGTGAGTGCTCCACGGTGACAACTGACCACAGTGAGTGCTCCACGGTGACATCCGACCACAGTGAGTGCTCCACGGTGACATCCGACCACAGTGACTGCTCCATGATGACAACGACCACAGTGAGTGCTCCACAGTGACAACGACCACAGTGAGTGCTCCACAGTGACAACTGACCACAGTAAGTGCTCCACGGTGACATCCGACCACAGTGAGTGCTCCACGATGACAACCTACCACAGTGACTGCTCCACGATGACAACCTACCACAGTGACTGCTCCACAGTGACAACTGACCACAGTAAGTGCTCCACGGTGACATCCGCCCACAGTGACTGCTCCACGATGACAACCTACCACAGTGACTGCTCCACAGTGACAACTGACCACAGTAAGTGCTCCATGGTGACATCCGACCACAGTGAGTGCTCCACAATGACAACCTACCACAGTGACTGCTCCACGATGACAGCTGACCACAGTGAGTGCTCAACAATAACAAACCACAGTGAGTGCTCCACAATGACATCAAACCACGGTAAGTGCTCCAGGATGACAGACAGAAATTGCTGATCCAAGGTTGCTTCCCCTCCAATCCTGCCTCAGGACATCTTGGCCCACTAGAAGTCAGGATCCCAGGACTGGGAGGCAGAGAGCCTGGACTCTAGAGTAGGACACTGAGAAAGGAGGCTGGGCAAGTCATATCCCCTTTACAGGCCTTAGTTTCCCCAGGGTAATACCCAAGGGTTCCACAAGAAGAGTGAATTTTCCTCCTGGATCTGACAGTCAGGAAATGTATTATCCATCTCTGAGTAGCTGTTACAGCTGTGGAGATCACCTCCTTTGGCTGCATCCCCCTTCCACACCCCTGCCCAGGATTAGCATATGTCAAGACATAACTAATGTGGCTAAAGAATCAGAGTAGATCCCTGACTCCCAGAGGACCCCACACTACATGGACGTCAAACAGTGCCTCTGCTTAAGCTCAGCTAAGAGAAGAGCATTTCCATAGATTTTATAGGCCAACTTCCTCCACCTGTTCTTTCCCCACCTGCCCACATGAGAAAAAAGGCAAGGAGAAGGAAAACAAGAGAGTCGCCAGCTTTCCTCTTTGTCCAAGGGTATTTTTCAGCCTTTGCTATTTCTAACTCCCTAATGCCCCGTATGAATCTTGAAGACCTTCAGTTCTAGATCTGCCCTGCCAGACAGGGTGAAGCAGGCATTCTTTACCTCTTCTCCCTCCATCAGGGTGTCAGGGACTGCATCTAGGAAGAAGGCCTGGAACCACACAAGTTTAACTGAAATAGCCTGGCTCAATTAAGCAAGCAGGAATGGCGGTGAGGAAAGCCAGCATGCAGATGTTGCAAAGCTACTCTGCCTTCAGAAGACGTCATCCCCCTAGCAGGGAATGGGGAAGGGGGCCAAGCTGGAAAGTTTGCTGCCCCTCTGAGTTCACTGAAAAGTCTGTTCTAATATCAGTCATCTAAATGTTTAAGAATACCACAGCTCAGCTCCCAGATCGGGAAGTAGGGGCAAATGGATGTGGGGATGACTGCCAATCAGGCAATGGAGCAGATGTCTGAGGAAGTGAGCCCTTTATTTATCTTCTCCCAGGAAACCAGAAAGCCACCGCTGCAAGGTGGCCAGAGACCTCAGCACTCTGGACCAG